TGCTTGGCACACCGTTATCAACATCATCATTGTGGACCTACAGCAGAATGATACAAGATGGTTAAAAATAGACTTCATCTCGACTCTCTATCTAGGTTACGAATAGTCTTTATTATATCCTTAAAAAATCCTTATAAACCTTATAAATTCGTAAACTGTTTAAAGGTAATATCCCTAAAATAGACTTTTTATAAATTTGTTAAAAACTGTAAAAAAAACTTTTTAAACTGTTTATTTGTTGTTTTTACCTCTTTTTCTTGGTTCTCAGTGTCTTCTTGTGTTTCAGGCTGTGAGAAAACGATAGATACAGCTTTTTTACAGTTTATTTTTAAAATGATTTTTTTGTAAAAGAACTTCAGAATTTGCTTACCTCTTTTTGTTGAGTATCTTCTTCTTGGGTCTCGTTCTCTTGTTTCTCGCTCTGCAAGAGAAATAAGAGATGTAGCATGAGTAACATTTAAATAAAAACATTTTTGAATAGCAAAGTTCTTAGTCTTACCTCTGTTTGTTCATTTTTTATTCCTAGGAATTGCTCTATCCTTGCTATTCTGAGTCCTAAATTTTCGAGCAAGGTGATAATCCTGTCAAGCTTCTCGTCCTGTGTCATCTGATGCTTCTTTGTTTGCTTCTTCTGCTCTTGCATCAGGTCGCGGACAATCTGGGTTGCTGTGTTATATGTCTCCTCTATACCTTGACATATATCATCTATATTTACTGATCCAGCAATCCAGTATGATGCTTTCATCCTGAACTTTCCTTTCATAATAATATCAACAAGTTCCATCAACCCGGTATCATCATCATGTGTTGGGAAGACTAAATGGCTGTAATACTTTAGATCACCTACAATCACGTTAACCATAACCTGGAAAAAAGGGATATTAAAAATGTGTAAAATTATCTTTATAAAAGAGGAATAGAAGGAACTTACACCACCCTCTTTTTCGATTTGCATAATGGATGAAGTCCTTGGGCAGTCGGTTCTTCCCCATCTTAAACATAATGGGACTTCTTCTTCTGACCCTTCTAATTTCGTAGCGAATTTTTCGCCAAATGTAGGAATGGCGCTGAGTAAAAATAAATGTATGGCCAGAACGAAGCCTTTGACATCGTACCGGTTTTTGTCCCATGAAGATGTAGTCATCCTTTTTATGGTAGTAGAC